ATTTTTATTTTTATTTTTATTTTTATTTTTATTTTTATTTTTATTTTTTTTTATTATTTTTTTATTATTTTTTTTTTAAATTGGTCTATTTAAAATTAAATCATAAGCAATTCACACCTCCAATAATGTATATATTATTTCTAATTTAATACACTAAAAAACTAGATCTATATTTGGTGGTGTGTGTTTTTTTATAATAAAGTGAGTGAGCAAATCTAAAAAAAAAACAACACGATAAATAAATATGATTGTATTGATTTACTAGTTTAATACCCCTCACTTTTAAAAAGGGAAATAGTATTAAATAAATAAAATTATTTTGTTATTGTTGTTGTTATTATTATAATTATAATTATTTTTATAATTATTGTTATTTTTAATAAAATAGAATAAAATAAAATAAATATACAGATTAAAGATATGAGGTGGAAAGATAAAGTTACTAGTAAAACAGAGGTTGAGTAGTAAATATATTATCTTCATCACCACATAAGATAAGGAGTTGGAATATATAAACTTTGATAAAATTGTGTAATCATTTCCATGATGACATGGTTTAAATTGGTAGTGCTGGAATTGAAAGAAAAAATAATGCAAACTAATGGGTAGGTTTTTTTAATATCTTTTTTTTTAATAATTTTTTATTTTTTTTATTTTTTTTATTTTCATTTTCTTTTTTATTCATTTTATTATAATTTGGTAAATCTATAGGTTTTATTTCCTAAAGTTATTTAAATAATAAATAAAGTTTGGTAAAAAATATTTTAATAATAATTTTTTTATTTATTTTTAATTTTTTTAAAAAAAAAACTTTTTTTTTATTTTTTTTTAAATTTTTAAAATTTTATTAATTCCTTTTTTTTTATTTTTATTTTTTCATTAAATTAAATTTATTAGAACAGAATGAGCAGCAAAAAAAGTATAGATAGAGGATCAATTGTACCACCATCATTTAAACAATCTAGAGCATGTGTTGATTGTGGATTGGTCAAAACAGCTCAACAATTCGATGAAAATGGTTGCGAAAACTGCGAAGGCACCAACAGTACCACACAAAATTTTGAAGGGTAAATATAGTATAATAATAATAATAATAATAATAGTAATAGTAATAATTGTAGTAATAGCAATAATAGTGGAAATAGTAGTAATAATTAATATAAATCGAGACATATGTAGAAATCGGTTTATATCATTACAGTTTCGTTTATCTAGTATTATATTAACATTCTTTATTAAAATAGTGTTATTGCAATTATGAATCCAGGTCAATCATGGATTGCAAGAAGAATGCGTTCAGAGAAAAAAGTACCAGGTTTATATGCATTATCAATGGATAAATAGAATATAATAACATTTTAAACATAAACTCAAATCATTTTTAAACAATAATACATAAACAGTAATAACATTATTATAGCGATATTATAGAGGATACATATTTTAATACAAATTATTTATATATCTTAAATAACAAAACAAAAGCCCCACCTGTACATATCATCCCTCCATCATCTTCATCATCCCAAAAAAATGCAAAGACTCCAAAAAAGAAATAAAGTAAAAAAAAAAAAGAAAAATAAAAAATAATTATTAAAAAAAATAGAAAATGTAATTGTATTTTTATTTAAACAAAAAATAATATATAGTTTGTTTTAAGGATTTAATTTATTTTACAAAAGAAAGGAAAATATTATATAAATATATTTATTATTATTATTATTTAGTTTTTAATTGCTTTATAAAAAATATTATATGAGTTATCTAAATCGAATAATAATTGTCTTGATTGTTCATCATCCAATTCATCAGTGGCTTTCATTTGGTTTAAAATTGAAATCCAATTTTTTATTTTCTCTTTACCTTCAAATGTTGGACCCAACCAAGAGTTTCTATTTAAACTTTCCATTAAATCACTTAAAAGTGGATATATACCATCGACAGCGACTAGTTTTAACCTAATAGAATCCATGGTTGTAATAAATAATTGTACTGCTTCAGCAACATTTCTAAAAGAAAAAAAAAAATTAATATATATACACATTTAATATTATTGAATATATTTTAAATAATTACTTTGCCATAGCAGTGTCAGTTGAAGATTCATTTGTACTATGTTCTAATGTTGATGGGAAACCTTTAATAACTAATCTATCATCTAAATATAGTTTGCGTGTGTGTAAAATAGGTCTGTTAGTATAGTATTGTAAATGTTATTGTTTTATATTGATATCTTACAAGCAGCTTTGCAATTTAAATCATAATCTCTCATAAATTGAGCAACATTTGGTACGTGATCTTTTAAGAGAGTTTGAGAGGATTTAAATTGGGCAATTAATTTTGAACATGCAGTTGTATAATCTTTTGGGGGGACATCGTCACGAATGTATGCTTTTTCTAAATGTTCAGTTACTTTAATGATTGAGTATAATTCAGCTAAATTATCATACATTTCTCTTTCTATATTATTGCTATAAAGTTTAATTTCTTTTAAATTTTGTGTGCTTGTGTTATTAGTATTATTCTTTAAGTTCATCATCATATCAAAATTATTGTTTTGTGTGGGTGATGTTATAGAGTTTGTGCTATTATTATTATTATTATTGTTGTTATTTGTATTATTATTATTATTGCTTGTTGGTGGTCCCCTAAAAAATTAATATTAAAATTTTAAAAAAAAAAAGTTAATATTAAGTATTAAATTATATTATATTATGTTTATTTTATTATTGTTTATTATATTATTATCATTTATTTTATTATTATTATTTTATTATAATAATAAAAAAAAACATACAAAGGTCTATTAGGGTTGTCAGTTTTGTTATTATATAATGAATTGAATGAGTATGGTGGTGGTGGTTCGCCAAAATTATTTGTGTTCATTTTTTTATATAAATATATATTATGTTTTATTTATTACAAATTATATAATTTATAAAATTTTTAAAAAAAAAATTAAAAAAAAATAAAAAAAAAAAAGTTTTTTTTTATTTTTAAATTTTATTTTATTATATATTTTTTTTAATTTTTTTTGGTAACTCTCTCATTTTTATGAGTATTAAATAAATAAATATTAAATAAATAAAGATTTTATTTTTTTATTTTTATTTTTTGTATAAATCTATTTTAAAAATAAAACTTGATTTTTTTTTTTTTTTATTATTATTTATTTTATTTATTCTAAGATATTCTTTTTTAATTATTAAAATAAAAATTTGTAATTATTACAATTGGTATGGTAATGGATAAAATTATTAATGAAATTTGGGCAATTCTTTTTGAATATTTTTTTGGAACATGTGTTAAAGATTTGAAATGAGTTTGGATGAAATCATTTTCGGCCCAATCTATCGTTTCAAAACTTAGTTCTTGAAGTATTAGTTTTTGATCATTAGAAATATGATTTCTGTGCTTGAATTGAATTGATTTTAAATATAGGGCAAATGGTATTATAAAATTTGCGACTGAATTAAAAAAAAGTGATGAGTAATTTGATATTTTATTCAACCAATCACCAGTTTGAAATGGAATCACAATGATCCATGGTAAAAGAATTGCTATAAAATTTGCATATCTAGGGTGCATGAGTCGATTTTGGGTCAAATTGTAACGAACAATAATTGAAAACACTGGGATACTACTTGCTAAAACTATAAATGGGAAAAAGTAAACTGAAAATTTGGAAAATATATTGCTTTTGCTACTGGCATTGATTAAACTTAATATATCTGATGTTGATGACATGTTTGAAAATGCTAATCCACCAAACACACCTATTAATATAAAAATACATGTTGAAATCGATGATGATACCCATATACTCTTTTTTAAATTTACATTAGGTTTGGATTCATTTACCCATGATGGTACAGTGGTAATAAATGCATAATTAAACATTGCTATAAATTATAATTTAAAATGAATAGTTAATAATTATATTTACATGTCAATAGTATTAATAACATATATGGCACTTACAATTACCCAGTATTTGTGATATACCATTAATAGAGCCTATTGGAGGTAAATTTGATGCGTCTAAGCCTAGTAAAATGAATATTATTAACCAACTAGTAACAATTATAAACATAATTATTACACATGCTGTTTGAATTTTAATATTGTCGTTTAAATTCATAAATCCTAGCGGGACAATGACTGCAATAATTGATAGATAACCGATTGTGAAAAACATAGTTCCAGAAAAAGGTGATGTATTTGCATTTTCATGGGAAACACATACCCAACCTTCGGAGAATGAAACGCCACATGTTTTTTTAAATATAAATATAATAATACTATCCATAACTTGCGAACATATAATAATTGACGCTATATTTGTAATTTGTAAACTTGCATTTATAAAAAACTGTGATAATATATAACCCCATTTCCCAAAATAAAACCTGCATATCATTGTAAACTCTACACGTAGTTGGAATCTGCTATTACCTGGTATCGTTGACATGGATTCTATTATAAATAGGCCAGCTAAACTGCTTAGAGTTAGCATTAAAATATAACCCAATGTAGTTAGAATCCATCCACCTTGCTGAAATTCATAAGATATATTAACCATCCCCGGGCCAGTTATATTGCCAATTAATAAACATATACCACCAATAGTACCAATTGATTTTAATCCAAATTCTTTAACAAATATATCATCTTCTCTTGGTACTCTTGATATCTCTAATAGGTTAAATAATTCATCTCCTTTAATATCTCTATGGGATCCTATTTTAATTGTATCTATTGTGCTTATTGATGAATTTACACTATTATTATTACTACTACTACTGCTACTACTACTACTTTCTCCTTCTTCTCCTCCTCCACCACCAATGAGTGATGTAATATCTAATTTAATATTGTTTTTATCTTTCATTATATCATATCATTTGTTATATAATTAAGTTTTGTTTTTATTATTACTAATTTAGTTTATTATTGTTTATTTTATAACTGAAAGATTTATATACTATCTTTTTTTTTTTTTTTTTTTTTTTGATTAATTTATTTTTTTAAAATTATAAATTATTATAAATTATTTGTTTCTATGTGACATTTATTTATTTAAATTTAAAAATTTAAAAAAATTATTAAAAAATAAAAAATTATTTGTGGTAATTTTATTAAATTTAATATATTTGTTTTTATTTTTGTGTGTATAGGGACAATATTAAATACTATATATGAAATATAGGTGTGGTGTGAGTGTGTGGGTGGGGTATGAAAATTGAATCCTCTTAAAAATAAATATTCTTTTATGGATAAATTTTAAATATCTACAATACTAAGTTTTAAAATTATCATTATTATTATTATTTTTTAATAAATTAAAAAAAAACACCTTAATTTTAATTTTTCTTTTTGTATATTTACATTGGTGTACATAAATGACACATTAAATGGGGGTAAAAACTTTATTATCCTTTACTAACGGAGTGAATATATTGTTATTTAAAATTATTATTGTTTTTTTTTTTTTTTTTTTTTTTTTGTGATTCTTTTTATTTGTAAGGTCTGAAAATTGAATCAATCTAGATTTATTATTTTTTATTGTTTTATTATTTTATTGTTTGGGTGGTATTCTTTTTGGGTTGTTTCTATATGATTGATCTCTAATTGATTTAAAATGATTTTTGATATCGAAATAGTTTATTGGAGTGAGTGATGGTTTGTGGTTATATATTTCAGCAAATGATAAATTTTTGACAGAGATTTTAAATCTTTTATTATCACCTGTATTACTTAAATCACTCTTTCTCTTTTCACCTAAAATATTGTTTGAGCTATCTGATTTACTAATGTTATTAATACTATCACTGCTACTATTTAAACTTCCTGTACTACTAGATCTAACATTAAATTGGAAACTTGTGTTATTATTATTATTGTTGTTATCGTTAGCATCTAATTTTTGCTTTGATTGAGGAGATGTATTAAAACCTTTAATAATATTGAAAATAGTGGATATATTATTTTTATCTTTTTGTGATTTTGGTGGTTCGGGGATATGTGAGATGGTAGAAGTTATTTTGTTATTATTGTTATTTACATTATTATTATTATTACTATTATTATTATTTTTATTATTATTGCTTGGGAAATTATCTAAATTTAATGATTTTTGTTTGGAAAATTCTTTAACTTTTAATAAAATTGAATTACCATGATCTTTAATTTTCTTTTCTTCTAAACCTTCAATAAGTCTAAGGGAATCTAATGAGGATGGTCTAGTTTCAGCTATATGTCTGAGGGTTTTTTCAGAGAATAGGAGAAACTCTGGTATTTCCGTTAAAGCCGATAGTGATTTTCTATATTCTACTAGAATTTGAAATAAGCTTTGAATATTTGAATTTGAGGTAGGTGCGGCAAGGACGCTCCATTTATTTGAAATAATATTATTTTTTGAGGGAGATATAGTCGAAGAGATTGAGATTGAGGTGGAAAGTTTTTTTGAGGAAAGTTGATTTTTATAAAAATTTGTTAATTTATATTCATCTTTTAAAATTTTATTGGAACCAATGAAAACTTTAAGATCTGGTGACTTGTATAATTCCCAACCTTTTTTTGAAAATTTAGTAATTGTATAAACATTGGATGTTGTTTCAGTCAAGTAGTCCAATGTTTTTAGTTGATTTGCTAATTCTTTCCAAAATTTAAGACTAAATGAAATGCCTTTACCATAATATGAATTTTTTAAGTGTTTTTGAGCTAAATCCGAGCTAGTTGAACCACGTAATATATTTATTATAGTTTTCATACCACAGCTTTGACCTGCTTCAAAAATACAGTTGATTAGTATTCTAGACTCGTGAGTTAATTCTAAAAGGTTACTGGTATCTTTTTCTTCTGTACAATTATCACAGCCACCACATCCATTTGGAGGGACACTGTATTGTTCGTTGAATACAGAGAGTATGGCCTTCCTTCTGCATTCAGTACGATTAACCATAATATTCTTTAGCTGAGTTAATTTATCAATCTTATTTGATTTGGTTTGATGATTACCACCGAAATTAATTCTCAATGAACCTTTGGTGAAATCTTGTAAACTGAAAAATACTAAACTTAAGGATGGCAAACCGTCACGACCTGCTCTGCCGCTCTCTTGATAATATTCTTCTACACTTTTGCTTGGGCCATAGTGTATGATAACTCTAATATCGTGTTTATCGATACCCATACCAAAGGCAATTGTAGCACAAACTACCTCGGTTTTATTGAATAAAAACTGCTTCAAAACTTGTTCTCTTTGAGGATCGGACATTTGAGAGTGATAACAATTTGATAAAATTTTATTTGCTTGAAGATATTGATTTAAATCTATGGATGTTTGGATTGTAGGGCAATATATAATTGTTGAGTTTGATACACCTCCAATGCTTTTTCTTGTTTCATTTATAATCTTTAGTATCATTTCGTAATCTTTGTTTTCAGTTTCTTTGTAAATGGCTTTATAAAATATATTTTCACGGTTCTTTGGGGATCTAAATATCTTGAAATTATCATTTTGCAATTGTAACACTTCAATAATATCATTCTCGACTTCTGTGGTACTTGTAGCGGTTAAGGCCATTGTTGGTACATTTGGAAACATATTTCTTAAAATATCTAATCTTCTATAGCTTGGTCTAAAATCAGTACCCCATTGACTGACACAATGACATTCATCAACCGCAAATAAACATACTCCATTATTTTCTACTAACTTATTTATTGACATTACTTCATTAACCAATCTTTCTGGAGTTATAAATACTATTCTATATAATCCTTTAAATATATCATTATATTCTTTTGATGAATCTTTAATATCACTTGATAATTTAATTGCTTTAATACCTAATCTAAAAAATAAAAATTTGATTTAATATTAATAAAAGTTTTTTTAAAGTTATTAATAGTATTTCTGTTTTTTATTTAATACATACGATCTTAATTTTATTGTTTGATCTGAAATTAAAGATTTTAATGGAGAGATTACAAAAGTTGTTTTCTTTAACAATAATGATGGTAGTTGGTAGCACAACGATTTGCCACCACCCGTTGCAATAGACACAAAAGAGTCATAGCCTTTTAATGTGTGTTTAATGATTTCTAATTGCTTTGGTCTGAATGTTGTTAACCCAAAATACTTTTTTAAATATTTGTATAATACTTCTTCATTATTATCTAAATATTGCTCTATCTTATTGTTCATTGTATTACATTTGTATGATAATAAAATTTATTATAAATTATTTATTATTTATTATCGATTATTTTATAATAACAATGAACAATAAAAAAATAAAAAGTTTCTTGTAAAAAAAAATCCCAAAAAAAAATAAAAAAAAATTCAAAAAAATAAATTAAATAAAAATAAATAAAATTAAAAATAAATGAAAATAAAAGAGAGGGTGATATTTTACCTTTTTTTGGGAATATTGGATGAGCTTTTATTTATTTACATTTTCAAATTTAGGTATTTTATTTAAATTTGGTAATTTATTGTTTAAAAAAATTGAAATATCGTCGATTTCTTTTGGACACACACCATCACCCAAATCTTTATATATAATGAATTCGCTATTTGTACAACCTTTGTTTTTTAAGAAGTCGAATGATTGTTGACCAATTGATAAGTCAATAAGTTCATCTTGATCACCGTGAAGCATGAGTAATGGGTTTTTTATATTAACTGAATCGAGTATTACATTTTTAAAACTATGATTTAAAGGCAGATAACCAGATAGTGTAAAGCAACCACCCAGCGAGTATCCGCCATCTATATTTATATTCGTTCTATCTTCTTTATAACCCACAGAGCCGTCGGAAAGAATGCTCAATTTCCTTTCTCCTTCATCTAAACCTTGCTTTTTTTTATTTATAAAATTACTTTGACTAAAAAATGAATACAATGCCAGTGCACCACCTTGTCCGAACCCACCCACTATTATTCTTTCAGGATGTATGTTGTTATTTTGTACTTCATTATCTATAATCGATAGAATGGCAGCTGCTGAAAAATCCAAACTTTTTCTATCCTCCTGACCCAACCTTGAGTAGTTAAACCAGCTTCTAATTGGATAGTCATAGTATTTTGAAACTGGCTCAACCAGTGAATTTGGGCATATAAATTTAATGTGTTGATTTCCTTTCGATTGAATTGTTTCTATAATATCAGCCCACAACTGACCCCTTTCTCCTATTCCATGTGCAAATATTACTGATGCTGAATGTTTTTTTTTTTCATTAACTATTAAAGATGATCTTAATATACCACCAATACTTCTATATTGGCTCATTTTAAAAATAATTATTAAATAGGTAATTGGTGTATCTGTTTTTGAAAAAAATTAAAAAATTTAATAAAAAAAAAAAAAAAAAAATTTAAAAATAAAAAATATTTTTTTTCATTTTGCAAAATTCATTTTATTTAATTTTAAGAAATGCCTTCACAAAGATCACTTAAACAACCTGCAATTAAAAAAAAAGTATACTTTTAAAAAGATTTTATAAATTATAAAAAATGGGTTTATATATATTTTCCCATTATATATTTATTTGTATTGATTATATATAATTTCTATCTTTAATTTAAAATTAATAAATCAAAGATAAAATAGTATTGAAATTATTTTATTTATATTATATATTATATTATATATTATATTATTATTATTTAATATTATTTAAAATATATTTTAAAATTTGTGGATGATTGTTTTTAATTGATAATTCTATTAATTCAGATTTTATATCTTTGGTATTATAGTCCATTACTTCTCTATATTTTTCAATAAGGAAACTGAGCATTTCTAAATCACCTCTTATAATGGTCTGTCTAATCGATTGGCTATATGATAGTGGATTGAAAAATTCAGGGAATATTTTAACTATTAAACTATATACATCCTTTCTTCCACATAAAACTGATTGAGAGAATCTATCGAATGGTATACCTGTAGAATTTGTACTGATTGCTCTAAATAGTTTTTCTAAATCTTCAATATTTGAATACTTGAGACATTTCTTTATAACTTCATAGGTAATCTTTGGGTAGTCTGCTCTGTTTGAATTAAACTTATCTAATGCTTCTTGAATATTACCCATATTTAATGTTTTTAAATGTGGTAGTAAATAATTTGGTGGTGATTTTAATTTCTCTTTAATTAAATTTCTATATGATGATGGTGGTGGAAGTGTTATATTACCATTATTAATTAAAAAGCTATTACTGTTTTTATTGTTACAACCACTACTACCGCTACTATCATTGCTATCATTACTATTACAACTGCTTATACTACTACAACTTGCGCTTCGGGCTAAACAGATACTATTATTATTTAGATTGCTATATTCACTAACACTACTATTTAAATTATAGTTACTATTACTATTTTTTAAACTGAATATTGTAGGTTCTGGTGCTGCTATTGTTGTATTATTATTTCTATTACTAAAACTATTTTTTATATTGGATACTAATGATACTGTCGTTGTATAATTATAACTATTACTATTACTATTGTTTAAACTGAATGATAAGGATGATGATGATGATGATGAAGCTGCTGTTGTGTTATTATTGTTATTGTTATTATTGATATTGATACTATAAGGTTCTATGATATTTACTCGATATTTTAATAGTAGTTCTAATGATTTAATTGATGATATTGAAAAACTTTTTTTATTAATTGTATAGTTTGGTAAAAATGTTGGTACGTTCATTGATAGGAAATACTCTAATGCTTCTATATTATCTAAAGAGTATGCACATTCTACTAAATCAAACATGTGTAGCTGTTCTTTTTTCTTTTCATATAACAAACTAATTAAATTTACATCTCTATTAGTCTCTAAAAAAAGTTTTATATCTCTAGATTTTATTAATATATATTCATCTGCCTGTATTATAATTAATAATTATTAAAGAGTTAATACATATGTTTACTTTATAACGATAATCAATTAGTCTAAATGTTATTACCACCTACTTTTAATTTAATTTCTAATAAGTTCCATAATTTTCTTTTTACCATAAATCCCAATGATCTTATATGTTTAAATTTAATTCTATTAAAGTAGAATTGGTTTATTGTGGTTGCAGCAGCGGTTGGGAATGTTGGATATTGTAATTGGGGCATGGGTTTTGATGAATAGTTTTTGTATACTGGTGTTTGTTCTATCATTTTAAATATAAGATCTCTAATTAATTTGTTGTTGAAAACCTTCCAAAAACTTTTTTCGAATCGTATGACCTCTTCAATATCTTTAAATGTGTGTCCTTTGTGTGTGTTGTTGATAATTGATTTTAGTGATAACGGTTCATTGCATTCGCAACAAAATGAAATTATTAAATTATTTTCATCTTTTATACATTTATAATTACTATAAAAATTTATATTGTTATTATTCATCATAAAAAAATATAAAAAATTATATAATTATATTTATATTTATAAATAAAAATAGTATTTGGTTATAAATAAATCTTATAAAAAAAAAAAAAAAAAAGAAAAATGAAAAAAAAAAAAAAAAAACAAAAAAAATAAAAATTTAATTTTTTTTTTTTTTTTTTGATTTTTGCACTAAACGTTAGGATAATATAAAAAAAATTGATATTTTAAATATCTATCAATATGATCGAAGATAAAATTGGATTAATAATGGGATTTTTCTATTTTTTAAATTAAAATAATTTTTTAAAAAAAAACAATTCTAATATTATTAAAATATAAAAAATTTTATATTTTTTATTTTATATTTTCTATAATATTCATTCACCTAATGTAATGAACAAGGATCATTACTCAATAATAATCAACATAATCAACTATTATTTTAATTTATCAAAAAGAATTTTTAAAAAAAATATATTTTAAAAAAAATAAGAAAATATTAATATCTCAGTTGGTAGGAGCGTGAGACTGAAGAAAATAAAAACTTTTTAAATGTATGTAGTGAATAATATTTAGGATTTTTTAAATCATTACTCAATAATTTTACCCTATTTATATACTCAATAATAATCAACATTAATTTATAAAAATCTTATCATCACACGGAAGAGATATTTAATATTAAAAATTTAGTGGGGAAATCCGAGAATCGAACTCAGGACGCTACCACCCAAAGGTAGCATTATACCACTTAACTAATTTCCCTATTTTATATTTTTCATTTTATATCGTTGTCTGGCTGGTTGTGCAAAAAATCCTACCAAATTAGGTCTATGAATAATAAAAATATAAATAATAAAATTAATACAACCAACTCTAATTATTTACTCAAGTAAATAATGCATTACTTCAAAGTCTAGTTTCAACAATAATAATTAGTGTTCCTGATTTCAAATGAAAAAAAATCAACATTTTTACTTCCATTTAATTTGTTCCAAATAAATGTCTTTTTGTCTCAAATTCGTCACAGACATCATCAACAATTATTTATTATAAAAATTCTCTTTCAATAATTATTAAATAAAGAATTAACAATTTAGAGCTTTATTTTATAAAATTCTTTTTTTTTTTACTCTAAAAAATTAAATTAAAATTTTTTTTTTTTTTTTATTTTTTTATTTTTTTTTTAATTTGTTGATAATGTTCTGTAGTTTAATTAAAATATCTTCATGTATTGCTCAGAAGCATATATTTCCATTAAAGAAAGTAATTTATACATTATTTATAAAATATATTATTAATTTCAATAAAAATTTTCTTCATTTTTTCTTAAAAATTTTTTTTTTTTTTTTTTAAAAAAATTTATAAATTTATAAATTTATAAATTTATTAAATTTATCCATAAATATAAAAATAAAATTATAAAAATAATGTTAGATAATAATAATAATAGTAAAATTGATTCATTATTTTTTTCAGTATGGAGAAACAAGTATATATTAAGCGAAATATGGGAACATATCAGATTATATAATGAAAATGAAATAATAAATATTAAAACAATGGATCAGCTTAGATATCATCCACATAGAAAATATATTACATCAGTTTTTATTTATAATAATGAAGTAATAGAAACACCAAATACAAATAACATTATAAGTTTTAAACCAATTAAAGCAGGCGATATCCCAGAATCAGTTACAAGTCTAAGATTTAGTTATAATTACACCACCCCAATTGATTTTAAATCAGCTCTACCTTCAGGAATTAAAATATTTGAATACCGTAACTTTGATGAGCAACTCACACCACATTCTTTACCCCCAAATATTAGCAGTTTAACAATAGGAACGAATCATGAAATCTGTGAAGGTACTTTCCCAGATTCATTAACATATTTATCTCTATATAAATTCAATAAGACAATCTCCACACCCAATATATTCAACTCTGTTGTAAAACTACAACTAATATCGTATGATCAAATTTTAAAAGCTGGTGATTTACCTAAAACATGCGAAATACTAAATTTAAATAAATATAATCAACCAATAGAACCCAATGTTCTTCCACCAAATTTAAAAACACTATTTACTTGTAAATTTAACCAACCAATGACCCACGGTTCACTTCCAGATTCGGTCACCGACCTTACTATGGATAGTTATAATCACCCATTATCAAACTCACTGTCATCATTAAATTCATTAAAAAAATTATCATTGTATGGTTTTTTTCAGGGTATATCCAGAACAACATTACCTAATTCAATTACATCATTGAATCTATACCATTTTAATAAACCTTTAATGCCAAACGTACTTCCATCTTCAATAATAACCCTCAGATTAAACAATTATAATCACCCATTAGGACCGGGCGTAATTCCGCCCAATGTAGAGCATTTAGAATTAAGTTCATATAACTGTTTCCTTAGTAAAAAACTATTCCCAAATACTCTATGCTATCTATTAATCTCATGTTTCAATAAACCTTTTTTAAAAGACTCTATACCATCATCAATTAAACATCTTAGGTTCTGTGATAATGGTCCAGAAATATTTGAAATGGATTCAATTCCACCATCTGTTAAAATTTTAGTACTTCCATGTGTATATAACCATCCTCTTCCAGTCGGTTTAATTCCAAACTCTGTAGTAGATTTATCTTTACCGGGTAATTGCTCTCCTCTTCAAGTGGGTGTATTACCAGAATCCCTCACTTCATTAGCCTTTGGTTATGGTTTTAATCAACATCTAGACCCAAATACTATTCCACAATCAGTTACCCAATTAAAACTAAATAGAATTTATTCACAACCAATACCAGACTCTTTAACAAACAGGATAAAAATAACAAGATAAAAATAAAATAAATTGTACATTAATAATTTTGTTTAAATTTTTTTACATTATCAGGAGTAAAGTATAAAATCATCGACTAATAAAAAAGAATTAAAATAAAATTTAAAATAAATATTAGAGATAAATTTAAAATAAAAAAAATAATTAAATTAAAAAAAAAAAAAATTTATTTTATAAATAAATAATAATAACTTTTTTATTTTTGTTTTTTTTCGATTCGTTTATGTACATAAGAAGTTCCTTTAAGTAATTTAAGAATTAAATGCGCCACCACGAAAGCTGAACTATAAAAGCTAAAATTGAAAAACAATCTAGACTCTATTTGGACAACCCCGAGTGTGTAATGGCAATTTAATTTCTTTTAATCTTATAATCTTATGATCTTCTCTTTTTAATCAAATGGAAGCTATAGTCGTAAAAGCAATCGACATGTTTGATTAAACCATGGATTAATTCGTAGCCTCTATCAGTATCATATACTATCTTTTTTGCTTCACTTTTAAATTTGATCAATTGCTCTGTGAAGCCAAGATCTTGATCATAGATGATTTTGTTTGGATCGTAATTTTCATCGGTGTCAAAATGAATATGATCATGTTCTTTGATGTTTTCTTTTTGGAACTCTTCTTGAATAATTTTATTTTTTTTAGTATTTTTGTTATTGTTATTGTTATTATTATTGCTACTATTTTTTTTTCTAATTATTGAATTTATAAAAATGGTAACTACATCTTTACCAATAATTACAAATAATCTAATAAGGTCTTCTATTAGAATACCTAAACAAAGAATTGAAACTAATAATATACCAATCATTATTGAATAGATTGAATAATAAATTAAATAAAAAATGAATTTGATAGGTGAGAATACTATATTTAAAAACATGGAAAAAACTAAAAAAGCTATTAATTCTACTATTTTTTTATTCATTTTGATTATTATTTAAATCTAATGTAGTTATATTATAATTTAAAAAAAATTTTATTATTATTTTTGAAGTTATTAATATTAAAATTTTATAAATGATTATTAAAAAAAAAAAAATATTGATAATAATGAAAAAAAATAATTTATAAAAAATATAAAAAATAAATTATGTGTAAGTAGGGGTAACAAAAATTTAAAAAAAAAATATATTTAAAAAAAATAAAAAAAAATTAAAAAAAAAAAATAAAAAAACTAATAGTGAAGATTTTAAAAAAAAGTGTAATTGATCAAATTTTATAGTTTCCATTTATAGGTTTAAAATAAAATTTTAATTTTAAATAAAAAAGAACTTTTATTAAATAAATAAATAAAAAAATAAATAAATAAATAAAAAATATTTTTTTTTTAAATTTCGACATATACTTCAATTAATGAGTGTAAAACCATTTCGTATTGTTTTAAATTTACAATAACAGATTTTATTGTTTTAAAACTAGCTATATTTCCTTGGTTATTGTTGTGTTTGTTAAAATGTGCCATTAAACTATAGAATACCATTTGGGTCCAATCTTTCCTGGTAAAAAATCACCACTTCGAGTAACGGGTAAAGTAAATTCAACCATAGTTAAACCAATCTATATAATAATAATTAAATTAATTTTTTATAAATTTAATTAAAAGTCTTTTAAAAACCAATATAAATAATAATTAAAATTTTTAAAAATTAATATAAATAAAAAAATTTTATTTTATTATAAATAAAGAAAAATAAATATTTCAAAAATAAAAATTATTTATTTAATTGATTTAAAAAAAAATTTGGGCTAATAAAAAATAAAATAAGATAACTTGTAAATTGGAATATAATATATTTTTTTTTTTTAATATTTAAAAAAAATTAAAATTGGATTAAAAAAAAATTAAAATATAAAAAAAAAATAGTTTTATTATATTTATTAACTTATATTTTATTTATTAGCTGCACAATTATATTTTGATGAAAGATGGAGTTTTGAGGGTTATCGAGCTTGGAAAAGTAAGTAATAAAATATTATTATATTCTAGTTAAACTTTGAAAATTTTAATTTAATTTTTTATAACTTTTAGTATTACGGCTCCTCAGCAAATCCACAACAATAATTGATTGTTTTGTTATGAAACAAAAATCACTTTTAAGGTGATTTAATTAATATTAATTATTTAATAAAAAACATAATATACATAAAGGTATATATACTATAAAAATCCATATTTTTAAAAATCTTAATCCAAAATTTCATTTTTTCTCATGTATTATAATTTATATTTGTATATATACATTTTTGTTTTATTATTTATTTATAGTTTTGTGGGGAATTATTTGTTGTGTTAATTTATGTATCAGGTGTATTATTTTAATAAAAAAAATAGAGATTAAAAATTATCTTTATTCTCAGTTTTTACCCATTATCGTTATCTTATTCATTTAAAAATTTTTTTTAAAAGTTATCTCTTTTTTTAAAAAAAATTATCTCTTTTTTTAAAAAAAATTATTCATTTTTATCGATTTTTAAAATTTGCAAATAGATGTAAAATAACAGCACAAACACACCCATCACAATTTTTCTCTTATCCGCCTTTCTTTTAATTTTTTTTTAAAAATTTTTTTAATTTTTTTTAAACATTTAATATATTTTTTTTTTTAGTTTTTTTTTAATTATAATCCGCGCTTTTTTAAAAAATTTTTTTTTTTGATTTAAATTTTGAATTTTATTAATTATAATATTTTTATTTTCCTTTCAAAAACCTTCACAAAACCATATTGATACTAACACTAATATTATGGTGCTATTTTTCACTTGTGTTGATGCTTATATTCACACCTCTTTAATAATAAAATGACAATATTATATTTCAAAAAAAAAAAACTATAAAAAT